TTGTTCTTGCAATTTTGCACACGCTAGGCCCTTGTTCTTGCTATTTTGCACACGCTAGGCCCTTGTTCTTCCAATTTTACACACGCTAGGCCCTTGTTCTTCCATTTTTCACACGCTAGGCCCTTGTTCTTCCAATTTTGCACACGCTAGGCCCTTGTTCTTCCAATTTTGCACACGCTAGGCCCTTGTTCTTGCGATTTTGCACACGGTAGGCCCTTGTTCTTGCTATTTTGCACACGCTAGGCCTTGTTCTTCCAATTTTGCACACGCGAGGCCCTTGTTCTTCCATTTTTCACACGCTAGGCCCTTGTTCTTCCAATTTTGCACACGCTAGGCCCTTGTTCTTGCAATTTTGCACACGCTAGGCCCTTATTCTTCCAATTTTGCACACGCTAGGCCCTTGTTCTTCCAATTTTGCGGGAGAATGGCGCGGGGTGATGGAAAGCGGGAGAATGGGGCGGGGTGATGGAAAGCGGGAGAATGGCGCGGGTGAAGGAAAGCGGGAGAATGGGGCGGGGTGATGGAAAGCGGGAGAATGGGGCTGGGTGATGGAGAATGGGGCGGGGTGATGGAAAGAGGGAGAATGTGGCGGGGTGATGGAAAGCGGGAGAATGGGGCAGGGTGATGGAAAGAGGGAGAATGTGGCAAGGTGATGGAAAGCGAGAGAATGGGGCGGGGAGATGGAAAGAGGGAGAATGGGGCGGGGTGATGGAAAGAGGGAGAATGGGGCGGAGTGATGGAAAGCAGGAGAGTGGGGCGGGGTGATGGAAAGAGGGAGAATGGGGCGGAGTGATGGAAAGCGGGAGAATGGGGCGGGGTGATGGAAAGCGGGAGAATGGGGCGGGGTGATGGAAAGCGGGAGAATGGGGCGGGGCCCTATTCTCCCGCTTGTTCTTGCAATTTTGCACACGCTAGGCCCTTGTTCTTGCAATTTTGCACATGCTAGGCCCTTGTTCTTGCAATTTTGCACACGCTAGGCCCTTGTTCTTGCAATTTTGCACACGCTAGGCCCTTGTTCTTGCAATTTTGCACACACTAGGCCCTTGTTCCTGCAATTTTGCACACGCTAGGCCCTTGTTCTTGAAAATTTTCACACGCTAGGCCCTTGTTCTTCCATTTTTCACACGCTAGGCCCTTGTTCTTCCAATTTTGCACACGCTAGGCCCTTGTTCTTGCAATTTTGCACACGCTAGGCCCTTGTTCTTCCAATTTTGCACACGCTAGGCCCTTGTTCTTCCAATTTTGCACACGCTAGGCCCTTGTTCTTGAAATTTTGCACACGCTAGGCCCTTGTTCTTGCTATTTTGCACACGCTAGGCCCTTGTTCTTCCAATTTTGCACACGCTAGGCCCTTGTTCTTGAATTTCTGCACACGCTAGGCCCTTGTTCTTGCAATTTTGCACACGCTAGGCCCTTGTTCTTGCAATTTTGCACACGCTAGGCCCTTGTTCTTGCTATTTTGCACACGCTAGGCCCTTGTTCTTGCAATTTTGCACACGCTAGGCCCTTGTTCTTGCAATTTTGCACACGCTAGGCCCTTGTTCTTGAAATTTTGCACACGCTAGGCCCTTGTTCCTGCAATTTTGCACACGCTAGGCCCTTGTTCTTGAATTTCTGCACACGCTAGGCCCTTGTTCTTGCAATTTTGCACACGCTAGGCCTTTGTTCTTGAATTTATGCACACGCTAGGCCCTTGTTCTTGCAATTTTGCACACGCTAGGCCCTTGTTCTTCCAATTTTGCACACGCTAGGCCCTTGTTCTTGAAATTTTGCACACGCTAGGCCCTTGTTCCTGCAATTTTGCACACGCTAGGCCCTTGTTCTTGCAATTTTGCACACGCTAGGCCCTTGTTCTTGCTATTTTGCACACGCTAGGCCCTTGTTCTTGCAATTTTGAACACGCTAGGCCCTTGTTCTTGCAATTTTGCACACGCTAGGCCCTTGTTCTTGCAAGTTTGCACACGCTAGGCCGTTGTTCTTGCAATTTTGCACACGCTAGGCACTTGTTCTTGAAAATTTGCAAACGCTAGGCCCTTGTTCTTGCTATTTTGCACACGCTAGGCCCTTGTTCTTGCAATTTTGCACACACTAGGCCCTTGTTCTTGCAATTTCGCACACGCTAGGCCCTTGTTCTGGCAATTTTGCACACGCTAGGCCCTTGTTCTTGAATTTTGGCACACGCTAGGCCCTTGTTCTTGAAATTTTGCACACGCTAGGCCCTTGTTCTTGAAATTTTGCACACGCTAGGCCCTTGTTCTTGAATTTTTGCACACGCTAGGCCCTTGTTCTTGAAATTTTGCACATGCTATGCCCTTGTTCTTCCAATTTTGCACACGCTAGGCTCTTGTTCTTGCAATTTTGCACAACCATGAAGAACAAGGGCCTAGCGTGTGCAAAATAGCAAGAACAAGGGCCTAGCGTGTGCAAAATTGCAAGAACAAGGGCCTAGCGTGTGCAAAATTGCAAGAACAAGGGCCTAGCGTGTGCAAAATTGCAAGAACAAGGGCCTAGCGTGTGCAAAATAGCAAGAACAAGGGCCTAGCGTGTGCAAAATTGCAAGAACAAGGGCCTAGCGTGTGCAAAATTGCAGGAACAAGGGCCTAGCGTGTGCAAAATTTCAAGAACAAGGGCCTAGCGTGTGCAAAATTGGAAGAACAAGGGCCTAGCGTGTGCAAAATAGCAAGAACAAGGGCCTAGCGTGTGCAAAATATCAAGAACAAGGGCCTAGCGTGTGCAAAATTGGAAGAACAAGGGCCTAGCGTGTGCAAAATAGCAAGAACAAGGGCCTAGCGTGTGCAAAATCTCAAGAACAAGGGCCTAGCGTGTGCAAAATTGGAAGAACAAGGGCCTAGCGTGTGCAAAATTGGAAGAACAAGGGCCTAGCGTGTGCAAAATTGCAAGAACAAGGGCCTAGCGTGTGCAAAATTGGAAGAACAAGGGCCTAGCTTGTGCAAAATTGGAAGAACAAGGGCCTAGCGTGTGCACAATAGCAAGAACAATGGCCTAGCGTGTGCAAAATTGGAAGAACAAGGGCCTAGCGTGTGCAAAATTGGAAGAACAAGGGCCTAGCGTGTGCAAAATTTCAAGAACAAGGGCCTAGCGTGTGCAAAATTTCAAGAAAAAGGGCCTAGCGTGTGCAAAACAGCAAGAACAAGGGCCTAGCGTGTGCAAAATTGGAAGAACAAGGGCCTAGCGTGTGCAAAATTGGAAGAACAAGGGCCTAGCGTGTGCAAAATTGCAAGAACAAGGGCCTAGCGTGTGCAAAATTGGAAGAACAAGGGCCTAGCGTGTGCAAAATTGGAAGAACAAGGGCCTAGCGGGTGCAAAATTTCAAGAACAAGGGCCTAGGGTGTGCTAAATTTCAAGAACAAGGGCCTAGCGTGTGCAAAATTGGAAGAACAAGGGCCTAGCATGTGCAAAATTTCAAGAACAAGGGCCTAGGGTGTGCTAAATTTCAAGAACAAGGGCCTAGCGTGTGCAAAATTGGAAGAACAAGGGCCTAGCGTGTGAAAATATCAAGAACAAGGGCCTAGCGTGTGCAAAATTGGAAGAACAAGGGCCTAGCGTGTGCAAAATAGGAAGAACAAGGGCCCAGCGTGTGCAAAGTTTCAAGAACAAGGGCCTAGCGTGTGCAAAATTGCAAGAACAAGGGCCTAGCGTGTGCAAAATAACAAGAACAAGGGCCTAGCGTGTGCAAAATTTCAAGAACAAGGGCCTAGCGTGTGCAAGATTTCAAGAACAAGGGCCTAGCGTGTGCAAAATAGCAAGAACAAGGGCCTAGCGTGTGCAAAATAGCAAGAACAAAGGCCTAGCGTGTGCAAAATAGCAAGAACAAGGGCCTAGCGTGTATAAAATTGCAAGAACAATGGCCTTGTGTGTGCTAAATCTCAAGAACAAGGGCCTAGCGTGTGCAAAATATCAAAAACAAGGGCCTAGCGTGTGCAAGATTTCAAGAACAAGGGCCTAGCGTGTGCAAAATAGCAAGAACAAGGGCCTAGCGTGTGCAAAATAGCAAGAACAAGGGCCTAGCGTGTGCAAAATAGCAAGAACAAGGGCCTAGCGTGTGTAAAATTGCAAGAACAAGGGCCTAGCGTGTGCAAAATTGCAAGAACAAGGGCCTAGCGTGTGCAAAATTGCAAGAACAAGGGCCTAGCGTGTGGAAAATTGCAAGAACAAGGGCCTAGCGTGTGGAAAATTGCAAGAACAAGGGCCTAGCGTGTGCAAAATTGCAAGAACAAGGGCCTAGCGTGTGCCAAATTGCAAGAACAAGGGCCTAGCGTGTGCAAAATAGCAAGAACAAGGGCCTAGCGTGTGCAAAATTGCAAGAACAAGGGCCTAGCGTGTGCAAAATAGCAAGAACAGGGGCCTAACGTGTGCAAAATTGCAAGAACAAGGGACTAGCGTGTGCAAAATAGCAAGAACAAGGGCCTAGCGTGTGCAAAATTGCAAGAACAAGGGCCTAGCGTGTGCAAAATTTCAAGAACAAGGGCCTAGCGTGTGCAAAATTTCAAGAACAAGGGCCTAGCGTGTGCAAAATAGCAAGAACAAGGGCCTAGCGTGTGCAAAATAGCAAGAACAAGGGCCTAGCGTGTGCAAAATAGCAAGAACAAGGGCCTAGCGTGTGCAAAATTGCAAGAACAAGGGCCTAGCGTGTGCAAAATTTCAAGAACAAGGGCCTAACGTGTGCAAAATAGCAAGAACAAGGGCCTAGCGTGTGCAAAATAGCAAGAACAAGGGCCTAGCGTGTGCAAAATAGCAAGAATTAGGGCCTAGCGTGTGTAAAATTGCAAGAACAAGGGCCTAGTGTGTGCAAAATCTCAAGAACAAGGGCCTAGCGTGTGCAAAATATCAAAAACAAGGGCCTAGCGTGTGCAAAATATCAAGAGCAAGGGCCTAGCGTGTGCTAAATTTCAAGAGCAAGGGCCTAGCGTGTGCGAAATTGCAAGAACAAGGGCCTAGCGTGTGCAAAATTGCAAGAACAAGGGCCTAGCGTGTGCAAAATGGCAAGAACAACACCCCGCCCCATTCTCCCGCTTTCCATCACCCCGCCCCATTCTCCCGCTTTCCATCACCCCGCCCCATTCTCCTGCTTTCCATCACCCCGCCCCATTCTCCCTCTTTCCATCACCCCGCCCCATTCTCGCTCATTCCATCACCCCGCCCCATTCTCCCTCTTTCCATCACCCCGCCCCATTCTCCCGCTTTCCATCACCCCGCCCCATTCTCCGTCTTTCCATCACCCCGCCCCATTCTCCCGCTTTCCATCACCCCGCCCCATTCTCCCGCTTTCCATCACCCCGCCCCATTCTCCCGCTTTCCATCACCCCGCCCCATTCTCCCTCTTTCCATCACCCCGCCCCATTCTCCCGATTTCCATCACCCCGCCCCATTCTCCCTCTTTCCATCACCCCGCCCCATTCTCGCTCATTCCATCACCCCGCCCCATTCTCCCTCTTTCCATCACCCCGCCCCATTCTCCCTCTTTCCATCACCCCGCCCCATTCTCCCTCTTTCCATCACCCCCCCCCCCTCTCCCTCTTTCCATCACCCCCCCCCCCCCCATTCTCCCTCTTTCCATCACCCCCACCATTCTCCCGCTTTCCATCACCCGCCCCATTCTCCCGCTTTCCATCACCCCGCCCCATTCTCCTGCTTTCCATCACCCCGCCCCATTCTCCCGCTTTCCATCACCCCGCCCCATTCTCCCGCTTTCCATCACCCCGCCCCATTCTCCCGCTTTCCATCACCCCGCCCCATTCTCCCGCTTTCCATCACCCCGCCCCATTCTCCCGCTTTCCATCACCCCGCCCCATTCTCCCTCTTTCCATCACCCCGCCCCATTCTCGCTCATTCCATCACCCCGCCCCATTCTCCCTCTTTCCATCACCCCGCCCCATTCTCCCGCTTTCCATCACCCCGCCCCATTCTCCCGCTTTCCATCACCCCGCCCCATTCTCCCTCTTTCCATCACCCCGCCCCATTCTCCCGCTTTCCATCACCCCGCCCCATTCTCCCGCTTTCCATCACCCCGCCCCATTCTCCCGCTTTCCATCACCCCGCCCCATTCTCCCTCTTTCCATCACCCCGCCCCATTCTCCCTCTTTCCATCACCTCGCCCCATTCCCCCGCTTTCCATCACCCCGCCCCATTCTCCCGCTTTCCATCACCCCGCCCCATTCTCCCGCTTTCTATCACCCCGCCCCATTCTCCCGCTTTCCATCACCCCGCCCCATTCTCCCTCTTTCCATCACCCCGCCCCATTCTCCCTCTTTCCATCACCCCGCCCCATTCTCCCTCTTTCCATCACCCCGCCCCATTCTCCCGCTTTCCATCACCCCTCCCCAATCTCCCTCTTTCCATCACCCCGCCCCATTCTCCCTCTTTCCATCACCCCGCCCCATTCTCCCTCTTTCCATCACCCCGCGCCGATCTCTCGCTTTCCATCACCCCGCCCCATTCTCCCTCTTTCCATCACCCCGCCCCATTCTCCCTCTTTCCATCACCCCGCGCCGATCTCTCGCTTTCCATCACCCCGCCCCATTCTCTCGCTTTCCATCACCCCGCCCCATTCTCCCGCTTTCCTTCACCCCGCCCCATTCTCCCGCTTTCCATCACCCCGCCCCATTCTCCCGCTTTCCATCACCCCGCCCCATTCTCCGTCTTTCCATCACCCCGCCCCATTCTCCCACTTTCCATCACCTCGCCCCATTCTCCCGCTTTCCATCACCCCGCCCCATTCTCCCGCTTTCCATCACCCCGCCCCATTCTCCCTCTTTCCATCACCCCGCCCCATTCTCCCGATTTCCATCACCCCGCCCCCTTCTCCCTCTTTCCATCACCCCGCCCCATTCTCGCTCATTCCATCACCCCGCCCCATTCTCCCTCTTTCCATCACCCCGCCCCATTCTCCCTCTTTCCATCACCCCGCCCCATTCTCCCTCTTTCCGTCACCCCCCCCCCCCCCGTTCTCCCTCTTTCCATCACCCCCCCCCCCCATTCTCCCTCTTTCCATCACCCCCACCATTCTCCCGCTTTCCATCACCCCGCCCCATTCTCCCGCTTTCCATCACCCCGCCCCATTCTCCCGCATTCCATCACCCCGCCCCATTCTCCCGCTTTCCATCACCCCACCCCATTCTCCCGCTTTCCATCACCCCGCCCCATTCTCCCGCTTTCCATCACCCCGCCCCATTGTCCCGCTTTCCATCACCCCGCCCCATTCTCCCGCTTTCCATCACCCCGCCCCATTCTCCCGCTTTCCATCACCCCGCCCCATTCTCCCGCTTTCCATCACCCCGCCCCATTCTCCCGCTTTCCATGACCCCGCCCCATTCTCCCTCTTTCCGTCACCCCGCCCCATTCTCCCTCTTTCCATCACCCCGCCCCATTCTCCCTCTTTCCGTCACCCCGCCCCATTCTCCCTCTTTCCATCACCCCGCCCCATTCTCCCGCTTTCCATCACACCGCTCCATCCTCCCGCTTTCCATCACCCCGCCCCATTCTCCCTCTTTCCATCACCCCGCCCCATTCTCCCGCTTTCCATCACCCCGCCCCATTCTCCCTCTTTCCATCAACCCGCCCCATTCTCCCGCTTTCCATCACCTTGCCCCATTCTCCCTCTTTCCATCACCCCCCCCCATTCTCTCGCTTTCCATCACCCCGCCCCATTCTCTCGCTTTCCATCACCCCGCCCCATTCTCCCTCTTTCCATCACCCCGGCCCATTCTCCCGCTTTCCATCACCCCGCCCCATTCTCCCTCTTTCCATCACCCCGCCCCATTCTCCCTCTTTCCATCACCCCGCCCCATTCTCCCGCTTTCCATCACCCCGCCCCATTCTCCCGCTTTCCATCACCCCGCCCCATTCTCCCGCTTTCCATCACCCCGCCCCATTCTCCCGCTTTCCATCACCCCGCGCCATTCTCCCGCTTTCCATCACCCTGCCCCATTCTCCCTCTGTCCATCACCTCGCCCCATTCTCTCGCTTTCTACCACCCCGCCCCATTCTCTCGCTTTCCATCACCCCGCCCCATTCTCCCGCTTTCCATCACCCCGCCCCATTCTCCCTCTTTCCATCACCCCGCCCCATTCTCTCGCTTTCCATCACCCCGCCCCATTCTCCCGCTTTCCATCACCCCGCCCCATTCTCCCGCTTTCCATCACCCCGCCCCATTCTCCCTCTTTCCATCACCCCGCTCCATTCTCCCGCTTTCCAGCACCCCGCCCCATTCTCCCGCTTTCCATCACCCCGCCCCATTCTCCCTCTTTCCATCACCCCGCCCCATTCTCCCGCTTTCCATCACCCCGCTCCATTCTCCCTCTTTCCATCACCCCGCCCCATTCTCCCTCTTTCCATCACTTCGCCCCATTCTCCCTCTTTCCATCACCCCGCCCATTCTCCCGCTTTCCATCACCCCGCGCCATTCTCCCGCTTTCCATCACCCTGCCACATTCTCCCTCTGTCCATCACCTCGTCCCATTCTCTCGCTTTCCACCACCCCGCCCCACTCTCTCGCTTTCCATCACCTCGCCCCATTCTCCCGCTTTCCATCACCCCGCCCCATTCTCCCTCTTTCCATCACCCCACCCCATTCTCTCGCTTTCCATCACCCCGCCCCATTCTCCCGCTTTCCATCACCCCGCCCCATTCTCCCGCTTTCCATCACCCCGCCCCATTCTCCCGCTTTCCATCACCCCGCCCCATTCTCCCTCTTTCCATCACCCCGCTCCATTCTCCCGCTTTCCATCACCCCGCCCCATTCTCCCGCTTTCCATCACCCCGCCCCATTCTCTCTCTTTCCATCACCCCGCCCCATTCTCCCGCTTTCCATCACCCCGCTCCATTCCCCCTCTTTCCATCACCCCGCCCCATTCTCCCTCTTTCCATCACCCCGCCCCGTTCTCCCTCTTTCCATCACCCCGCCCCCTTCTCCCTCTTTGCATCACCCCGCCCCGTTCTCCAGCTTTCCATCACCCCGCCCCATTCTCCCTCTTTCCATCACCCCGCCCCATTCTCCCTCTTTCCATCACCCCGCCCCATTCTCCCTCTTTCCATCACCCCGCCCATTCTCCCGCTTTCCATCACCCTGCCCCATTCTCCCGCTGTCCATCACCCCGCCCCATTCTCCCGCTTTCCATCACCCCGCCCCAATCTCCCGCTTTCCATCACCCCGCCCCATTCTCCCTCTTTCCATCACCCCGCCCCATTCTCCCTCTTTCCATCACCCCGCCCCATTCTCTCGCTTTCCATCACCCCGCCCCATTCTCCCTCTTTCCATCACCCTGCCCCATTCTCCCGATTAACATCACCCCGCCACATTCTCCCTCTTTCCATCACCCCGCCCAATTCTCCATCACCCTGCCCCATTCTCCCGCTATCCATCACCCCGCCCTATTCTCCCGCTTTCCATCACCCCGCCCCATTCTCCCGCTTTCCATAACCCCGCCCCATTCTCCCGCTTTCCATCACCCCGCCCCATTCTCCCGCTTTCCATCATCCCGCCCCATTCTCCTGCTTTCCATCACCTCGCCCCATTCTCCCGCTTTCCATCACCCTGCCCCATTCTCCCTCTTTCCATCACCCCGCCCCATTCTCTCGCTTTCCATCACCCCGCCCCATTCTCCCTCTTTCCATCACCCTGCCCCCTCCCACTTTTCATCACCCCGCCACATTCTCCCTCTTTCCATCACCCCGCCCCATTCTCCCTCTTTCCATCACCCCGCCCCATTCTTCCTCTTTCCATCACCCCGCCCCATTCTCCCGCTTTCCATCACCCCACCCCATTCTCCCGCTTTCCATCACCCCGCGCCATTCTCCCGCTTTCCATCACCCTGCCCCATTCTCCCTCTTTCCATCACCTCGCCCCATTCTCTCGCTTTCCATCACCCCGCCCCATTCTCTCGCTATCCATCACCCCGCCCCATTCTCCCACTTTCCATCACCCCGCCCCATTCTCCCGCTTTCCATCACCCCGCCCCATTCTCCCGCTTTCCATCACCCCGCCCCATTCTCCTGCTTTCCATCACCCCGCCCCATTCTCCCTCTTTCCATCACCCCGCCCCACTCTCCTGCTTTCCATCACTCCGCCCCGCCCCATTCTCCCGCTTTCCATCACCCCGCCCCATTCTCCCTCTTTCCATCACCCCGCCCCATTCTCCCTCTTTCCATCACCTCGCCCCATTCTCTCGCTTTCCATCACCCCGCCCCATTCTCTCGCTTTCCATCACCCCGCCCCATTCTCCCTCTTTCTATCACCCTGCCCCATTCTCCCGCTTTCCATCACCCCGCTCCAATCTCCCGCTTTCCATCACCCCGCCCCATTCTCCCGCTTTCCATCACCCCGCCCCATTCTCCCTCTTTCCATCACCCTGCCTTATTCTCCCGCTTTCCATCACCCCCATTCTCCTGCTTTCCATCACCCCGCCCCATTCTCCTGCTTTCCATCACCCCGCCCCATTCTCCCGCTTTCCATCACCCCGCCCCATTCTCCCGCTTTCCATCACCCCGCCTTATTCTCCCGCTTTCCATCACCCCGCCCCATTCTCCCAATTTCCATCACCCCGCCCCATTCTCTCGCTTTCCATCACCCCTCCCCATTCTCCCTCTTTCCATCACCCTGCCCCCTCCCGCTTTCCATCACCCCGCCACATTCTCCCTCTTTCCATCACCCCGGCCCATTCTCCCTCTTTCCATCACCCCGCCCCATTCTCCCTCTTTCCATCACCCCGCCCCATTCTCCCGCTTTCCATCACCCCGCCCCATTCTCCCGCTTTCCATCACCCCGCGCCATTCTCCCGCTTTCCATGACCCCGCCCCATTCTCCCGCTTTCCATCACCCCGCCCCATTCTCCTGCTTTCCATCACCGCCCCATTCTCCCTCTTTTTATCACCCTGCCCCATTCTCCCGCTTTCCATCACCCCGCCCCATTCTCCCGCTTTCCATCACCCCGCCCCAATCTCCCGCTTTCCATCACCCCGCCCCATTCTCCCTCTTTCCATCACCCCGCCCCACTCTCCTGCTTTCCATCACTCCGCCCCATTCTCCCTCTTTCCATCACCCCGCCCCATTCTCCCTCTTTCCATCACCCCGCCCCATTCTCTCGCTTTCCATCACCCCGCCCCATTCTCCCTCTTTCCATCACCCTGCCCCATTCTCCCGCTTTCCATCACCCCGCCACATTCTCCCTCTTTCCATCACCCCGCCCCATTCTCCATCACCCCGCCCCATTCTCCATCACCCCGCCCCATTCTCCCGCTTTCCATCACCCCGCCCCATTCTCCCGCTTTCCATCACCCCGCCCCATTCTCACGCTTTCCATCACCCCGCCCCATTCTCCCTCTTTCCATCACCCTGCCCCATTCTCCCGCTTTCCATCACCCCGCCACATTCTCCCGCTTTCCATCACCCCGCCCCATTCTCCATCACCCCGCCCCATTCTCCCGCTTTCCATCACCCCGCCCCATTCTCCCGCTTTCCATCACCCCGCCCCATTCTCCCGCATTCCATCACCCCGCCCCATTCTCCCAATTTCCATCACACCGCCCCATTCTCCCGCTTTCCATCACCCCGCCCCATTCTCCCAATTTCCATCACCCCGCCCCATTCTCCCGCTTTCCATCACCCCGCCCCATTCTCCTGCTTTCCATCACCCCGCCCCATTCTCCCTCTTTCTATCACCCTGCCCCATTCTCCCGCTTTCCATCACCCCGCCCCATTCTCCCGCTTTCCATCACCCCGCCCCAATCTCCCGCTTTCCATCACCCCGCCCCATTCTCCCACTTTCCATCACCCCGCCCCATTCTCCCGCTTTCCATCACCCCGCCCCATTCTCCCGCTTTCCATCACCCCGCCCCATTCTCCTGCTTTCCATCACCCCGCCCCATTCTCCCTCTTTCCATCACCCCGCCCCACTCTCCTGCTTTCCATCACTCCGCCCCATTCTCCCTCTTTCCATCACCCCGCCCCATTCTCCCTCTTTCCATCACCCCGCCCCATTCTCTCGCTATCCATCACCCCGCCCCATTCTCCCTCTTTCCATCACCCTGCCTTATTCTCCCGCTTTCCATCACCCCGCCCCATTCTCCTGCTTTCCATCACCCCACCCCATTCTCCCTCTTTCCATCACCCCGCCCCATTCTCCCGCTTTCCATCATCCCGCCCCACTCTCCTGCTTTCCATCACTCCGCCCCATTCTCCCTCTTTCCATCACCCTGCCCCATTCTCCCTCTTTCCATCACCCCGCCCCATTCTCTCGCTTTCCATCACCCCGCCCCATTCTCCCTCTTTCCATCACCCTGCCCCCTCCCGCTTTTCATCACCCCGCCACATTCTCCCTCTTTCCATCACCCCGCCCCATTCTCCCTCTTTCCATCACCCCGCCCCATTCTTCCTCTTTCCATCACCCTGCCCCATTCTCCCGCTTTCCATCACCCTGCCCCATTCTCCCGCTTTCCATCACCCCGCGCCATTCTCCCGCTTTCCATCACCCTGCCCCATTCTCCCTCTTTCCATCACCCCGCCCCATTCTCTCGCTTTCCATCACCCCGCCCCATTCTCTCGCTTTCCATCACCCCGCCCCATTCTCCCTCTTTCCATCACCCTGCCTTATTCTCCCGCTTTCCATCACCCCCATTCTCCTGCTTTCCATCACCCCGCCCCATTCTCCTGCTTTCCATCACCCCGCCCCATTCTCCCGCTTTCCATCACCCCGCCCCATTCTCCCGCTTTCCATCACCCCGCCTTATTCTCCCGCTTTCCATCACCCCGCCCCATTCTCCCAATTTCCATCACCCCGCCCCATTCTCTCGCTTTCCATCACCCCTCCCCATTCTCCCTCTTTCCATCACCCTGCCCCCTCCCGCTTTCCATCACCCCGCCACATTCTCCCTCTTTCCATCACCCCGGCCCATTCTCCCTCTTTCCATCACCCCGCCCCATTCTCCCTCTTTCCATCACCCCGCCCCATTCTCCCGCTTTCCATCACCCCGCCCCATTCTCCCGCTTTCCATCACCCCGCGCCATTCTCCCGCTTTCCATGACCCCGCCCCATTCTCCCGCTTTCCATCACCCCACGCCATTCTCCCGCTTTCCATCACCTTGCCCCATTCTCCCTCTTTCCATCACCTCGCCCCATTCTCTCGCTTTCCATCACCCCGCCCCATTCTCTTGCTTTCCATCACCCCGCCCCATTCTCCCTCTTTCCATCACCCTGCCCCATTCTCCCGCTTTCCATCACCCCGCCCCATTCTCCTGCTTTCCATCACCCCGCCCCATTCTCCCTCTTTCCATCACCCCGCCCCATTCTCCCGCTTTCCATCACCCCGCCCCATTCTCCCGCTTTCCATCACCCCGCCCCATTCTCCCGCTTTCCATCACCCCGCCCCATTCTCCCGCTTTCCATCACCCCGCCCCATTCTCCCGCTTTCCATCACCCCGCCCCATTCTCCTGCTTTCCATCACCCCGCCCTATTCTCCCTCTTTCCATCACCCTGCCCCATTCTCCCGCTTTCCATCACCCCGCCCCATTCTCCCGCTTTCCATCACCCCGCCCCAATCTCCCGCTTTCCATCACCCCTCCCCATTCTCCCGCTTTCCATCACCCCGCCCCATTCTCCCGCTTTCCATCACCCCGCCCCATTCTCCCGCTTTCCATCACCCCGCCCCATTCTCCCGCTTTCCATCACCCCGCCCCTTTCTCCCTCTTTCCATCACCCCGCCCCACTCTCCTGCTTTCCATCACTCCGCCCCATTCTCCCTCTTTCCATCACCCCGCCCCATTCTCCCTCTTTCCATCACCCCGCCCCATTCTCACGCTTTCCATCACCCCGCCCCATTCTCCCTCTTTCCATCACCCGGCCCCATTCTCCCGCTTTCCATCACCCCGCCACATTCTCCCTCTTTCCATCACCCCGCCCCATTCTCCATCACCCCGCCCCATTCTCCCGCTTTCCATCACCCCGCCCCATTCTCCCGCTTTCCATCACCCCGCCCCATTCTCCCGCTTTCCATCACCCCGCCCCATTCTCCCAATTTCCATCACACCGCCCCATTCTCCCGCTTTCCATCACCCCGCCCCATTCTCCCAATTTCCATCACCCCGCCCCATTCTCCCGCTTTCCATCACCCCGCCCCATTCTCCTGCTTTCCATCACCGCCCCATTCTCCCTCTTTTTATCACCCTGCCCCATTCTCCCGCTTTCCATCACCCCGCCCCATTCTCCCGCTTTCCATCACCCCGCCCCAATCTCCCGCTTTCCATCACCCCGCCCCATTCTCCCTCTTTCCATCACCCCGCCCCACTCTCCTGCTTTCCATCACTCCGCCCCATTCTCCCTCTTTCCATCACCCCGCCCCATTCTCCCTCTTTCCATCACCCCGCCCCATTCTCTCGCTTTCCATCACCCCGCCCCATTCTCCCTCTTTCCATCACCCTGCCCCAT